ATGCACATAAAATAATAACAAATATATCAAAAATGTGGAGCCCCTGGTAAACAGCCCACACTCCAGCAGAAGGCCATGCAGGCATGCATGGGTGCACAAATTAGAACTCATTTTTGATCAGCGGCAATGTGTTTTGTATCATTTCTTCCCTAAATGTGTAATATGGATACATTCAAAACCTAACAAAAACATCTCCTGATTTCAAATGTTTGACACAGATGGTGTTATTTCTACTTACTGTTTAGTTTGTTGAGATTCTTGGATCTAAAACAAAAGTTATTTCACAAAATCTGATGGAAATTTCAGTCTAAAGTTTTTCCAAGTAAGTTTTCTGCTGTAGTTTCTCATTTCTTCACAAGTCTCGTTTGTAAGTATGAAATCATGGTGTTATCCAGCTTCTTGCTAATTCTTTCAGCATTTCCTCTTTTCGTTTCTTGTATTCAATAATAACTATATTTTATTAGTTCTTTATTATTGAATAAAACTTAATCCAAAATTTACTGCTTTGAAGTCACAGTATTCATTTGTACAGAATTCCAAATAATCTCGAAGGATCAACTATCTCGTTTGAATTATTTTGACTCAGATCTCCCATGAATTTGTAGTAAGATGCTCACTGGGTCCAAAGTCACCTAAGGCTTGATTTGAGTACAGGATCTACTCCCGTGGTAGCTCACTTGCTTAGCTAGAGAGTCGGGTTCTCTTTCTAGGAGCTTGCATGTGTCTGCCTGAGTGTCCTTTCTTCAGAACGAGCACATAAAGGAAGGAAGACATCATCTGCTCTGCCTTTATGACCTGCACGTCCATCATGTTCTGTTTTTCACCTGGGCCAGCCATGGTTCAGCGTGGGAGGGGAGCTCAGGCTTGACTATGCGGAGGTGAAGCTTACTGAGCTCTGTCTTAGGCATTGATGCTCGCTGACAGGAAGTCCACCCGCCCTGCTTTCTGTCAACCGCAGTCTTCCAGAGCCCTTTGCATGGAATTTCAAAAATTCAGATAATTTATATTGGTCCTAAATTCTCTGGTAATCCTTTTGAGTATTTTTTAGTTCTCTGGTAGGAATCCCCCCACCCCACCGCCCCGCTTGCCAGCATTATTCTCATTATCCTACTTTCTCTTTTAATCATTTAAACACTTATATTTTCTGTTTTAAATATTTCTTCATCAGTATCAAGTGATGAATCATCTTGGAATTAGTTTGTGTAATTTTACTATCAGCCCCGATTCATGTTTCCTTATCATTTTATCTGTCTAGCAATTTTTTATATTATATGCTAGATGTTATCAAGAATTGGCTGAAGAGATTCAAATTGTTCTGCTTCTCATACAAACTTATTTCTTAATTCTGTCACTCAAACACACGTTTAAATTGGTTTAACTTTTTTAAAAAATTATTTACTTTGTGTATATGGCCTGCATGCCCATCTGTGTGAGGGCGTCAGGTCTCTTGGAACTGGAGTTACAGTTGTGAGCTGCCACATGAGTGCTGGGAATTAAACCTGGGTCCTCTGGAAGAGTAGCCAATGCTGTTAACCACTGAGCCATCTCTCCAGCCCAGTGTCGTGTAACTCACACTTCAAACCATGCACCTTTCCCTTAGCTCTTTATCCTTCTGGTTATCTTTCCCCCCTTGTATTATTGAAAGCTAGCACACATTTCCACAGCTTAAGAAATTGGCACAGATTGTGTATGGACTGTAAATTTCCCCATGTCGTTCATATTTTTTTTCTGCAAATGTCTTCTCAGTTTCTACTGCCCTGCTAATGCCGAAATGTCTGTTGTCCGATACGTAAAGATACGAAGACGGAAACTCGCTCAAAAACATTTCTTTTTCTGTGGGTGACACAATTCTCATTTCATCCCAATTCTCTTGCTACTCTGGACATCTTAACAACTGCTGTATGTAGACCAAGAAATATGACTTTTATATACAGGAGACTTGTACAACCTACTTTGCCATTATCAGAATGAGAAATCGTTCATTTGTGCGCTAGAATGGACAGTTTAATTATCCATTAAACAGCTCCTTTGATAGCTGAGGTTGAGGAAGCTGTTCAGTGGTGGAGGACTCACAGAAATCATAAGGAGTGGCCCTGTAGCTCAGTGCCAGGGCACTGCCTCCCCTGTGCAAGGCCCTCATGTGGATTTCTCATACTGAAAGAGAGCAGAAGGCAGTCTGTTTTGTTGGCAAACCCAGCTATTGGTCCATGTAGTTCTCAGTGACCTTGGGTTGTTCTATTTTCCCTTGAAGAATCGTCCAGTCTCTGTATGGATGGGGACAGGAAACACATAAGATAAGAATTTGTCAGCATCTTATGAGAGTACAGGTGTATGCATTGGATTGCTGATTTCCCAGAATTCCACTTAGTTTCCATTTTGAATATGGAATCAGTTGCATCATCTGACCTAAAACAAAATTTATCCTTGTTCAATATTTACAGAATCAGATCTGCTGTTTTCTTTTAGGCTTTGGGGATGGTGTGTTCGGAATGGCTAGGCATGGCAGGGCCACAGGATGCCTTCAAACATATCAGCCCAATGTCTTCTTCTGTTTCCTGCTCCAAAGCATTTCTTCACCTCCCGTGGTTAAGAATCGGATTTTCCTCATGAGCTTTTCCTCCTCAAAGTCTGGATTTCAGGTCTTCCAAATCTGAGTCTATTACTGTTTGTCCATATGTTCAACAGTAGATCTTTTGACTTATTTATATTTCCACTTCTTTTCATTTTAGTCAAGACTTAGGAAAAATGATAAATTTCATGTATTTAATCTTTGTTTCACCTGCTTCAAAATAATGCTATTTTATATTCATCTGTTTAAAATGAAAAAGGAAGCTTCACGGATCAAGCAAAATACACCACCTCCCCACTGCCTTCCACAAAGCATACATGCCGAGACTTCCGGTGGATGCCTGAAACTACAGGTAGCTCTGAATTCGGCCCAAATGCTGCCCTGTCCAACACCACACTGTTGATCTACGGTGAGGGTAGCACAGTGGGAGGAATCGCTGGGCAAAAGAGTGACTCATATATTGGGTAGACCAGTGCAGGACAGCAGAGTTCATCATTTCTGCCCAGTGCAGCAGGGAATTCAGAATGGGAGAACTGCTCATTTCTGGAATTTTCCATCTAATATTTCCACACTTCGGTTTACTGCGGGTTGTTGAAAACACAGGCAGTGAAGCTGAAAATGAGGGGGTGATGATGTGCTCTTGTCAACCTTTCATTTGTTGCATCCCCCTACTCCGGAAGTCATTTGTGAAGAGAACAGGAGTCAAATGACTAAACTCGGGACAACTGTAAATGTCATTTCCACGATCACCTTTGTACTCCACATAGGCTCTTTCTCCAGCCACTGCTTTCAAAAGTGCAGGGCAAGAACGGGCTGACCATATCTTGGATGGAGCGTGCTTGCTTTGGGTCCATTATTGTAAACTAGTCGACGGCAGACAAGCGTTTCCAGCCGCTGCTGCGTCTGAGGGCCTTGTCTCTAAGAGCTGTGGTTCCCACTAGTCTAGCCACGATGTCATGTCTTTGTTTCCACTGCCATGGTCAGCTAAGGCAAACTAACTTTGAGAGAAGCAGAATTTAGACATTAGTATCTTACTTTGTTTACGAGCTTGATGTTTTAGCTTGAAGATTAGTGAATCAGTGCAGTTTTGGTTTCTCACCAAAGTCACCCCACATACACTGGATCTTGAATGAAACTTTCATCTTTTTGTTACTTGTAGAGCATAGCATTTTGAGTGTTTGTTTGCCATTATCACCTCCATGGAAGAGTTCTGCATTGAGTTTTCATTTCCTATTATTATTAAACACTCCTATTAGAATTGACTGTTTAGTTTTGGTGGTGGTGATTTCACCAGTATGTAAGTACTATCTCAACAAATTCGAGGGAAATATTGGAACAAATTTGTGACTGATGCTTTCAGGAATGGAGACTTGCTGAGAAGAGTTTAGTATATATTGGAGAAAAGGTAGATAAAAAATCCCTAATATCTCTGTAGTATTAAATGGCCTAGGGGCCGTTTAGCTGGAAATCAGATGTGGGAGTAATTATTGCACACACACACACATTACAATGTTACAACTAACTGTTGTTTATCTTTGTTGAAATCTGAAAAGAAATAAAGCCCAAAGGTATCTATTCAGCCAGTACTTAAAATCGCCATGGCAGATGATGGATGGACATTAGAATGCTTATGATGCGGTACAGCTCATGGGAAGAAAAAAGCTCTTAACTGTAGCTACCTTCTCCGTCCAGAATGGTGACAGGTCCTGCCTTAAGGCAGGTTCGCCTGCTTGGCTTCTTGGGAGCCTTTCTTTGAGCCGTTTCAGCTGCTGGCCTTCAGATGCTGAAATTGAACTAGACACAGCCAAGTGTGTGCTCTTTTAGAAGCTCCAGCACAGCTAGAGGCGACAACGCCACTAGCAGCGATGACAAATTGAAGACTTCACTCAAAGGGGAATCAGGTCAGCATGGACCTGGGCCCATCCCTCTCCAGTGTGCACAGAAATGAGCGCCGAGTTCCAGCAGAGAAGGCCTGCCAGGAGCTGGCAACTACAGGACACCCTCCTCTATCATCTACATAAGCTCTTGACTTAGGGACCAGCAAGGGGTGGCTGGTTAGCTGGTGCAAGGTGGAAGGGACTCGCCCGCTTCGAGCCACGCTCCAGGAAACATGAGTTTCTCCAACAATGACCAGGTTCCTTTCTCACCATGCACTTGGTGGCCTCCACTCCTGGTGCTCGCCTCCGACCGAGCGGTCTCTTTCCAGGCTGCGGGCTCCTGCCGGAGGGCTTATAGGAAAACGCTCGCCCGGGGTCCTAGTGTCTTCCCCCAAGATCCTGTTTTTTTGCAAACGCGATAGGTGGCCGGCGGCTGCCACAGCCTGAGAGAGCAGCACAGGGAGGGGGCTGGCAGGGCAGGCGGGAGGGAGGCGCGGAGGTGGGGCGGCGGGAGCGAGGGGGAGGGCGCCAGAGCTCTGCGGCGCCCAGCTTGGTCTCTGCCGGCTGGCGGTGGCTCCGGGTTCCCCTGCGCTGGTGCTCACCGTCTCAAGCTCTCCGCCCGCCCTCGCTCCCGCTCCCGAGCGCGGAGGCGAGCCGCAGCCCGGCGCGGCGGTGGGCGTGTGCGCGCTGAAGGACGCCTCCTCTCGCTCCCGTGTTGCAGGCGGCGGCTGGCGGCTCCGGCTCGGGCAGCGGCGGAGGCTTCCGGAGTCCCGCGGCGAAGATGCTGAAAGTCACGGTGCCCTCCTGTTCCTCGTCCTGCTCCTCGGTCAGCGCCAATGCCCCAGGGTCTGGGAACCTCGTCCCGGATTACTGGATCGACGGCTCCAACCGGGATGCTCTGAGCAATTTCTTCGAGGTGGAGTCAGAGCTGGGACGGTAAGACGAGGGGCGCTGGACCAGGCGGAGCGTGGAGGCGCGGGCTGGGGCTGGGGATTGCCTGCAGCGTGCACGCTAGTGGTCCCTCTCGCTGCGACACCTGAGGGCGCCGGACTAGCCTCCTCTACCTTTGATCTCTCCCCGGCCTAGACAGTGTCTGGGCAAGAGCTAAACTCTAGTCCGAGGCAACCAGGCTCTCCCCTGAGCGCCTAGGCCGGTGCAGCTGCGAGCCTCCGCCAGACTCTCCCGCCCTGCCAGTGTGGAACTGGCTGCCACTTGGGTGATCTCTCCTACCGCACGTGGACTCTGATTTCCTAATTAGTGTCTTTGCACAGATTATACTTTGTCAGAGGGACTTGTGTGTCTAGTTAGTTTTGGGTTAGGGACTGCAATTGTGCCCCTCTCCACCGTGATGGAATTATTAAATTAGATTCTTCCTGCTTCCCCTCATCACGCTCTCCAAAGCAAGTGGCACTAGAAATTTAACCTAAATACTAGCTTCCCCGCAGCGTGTGCTCAGGAGAAGGCGAGAATGAATCATTTAGAAGAGTTAAAGGCAGAGTAATGAAGTAGTGAGGATTTAAAGAGAAAGCAACTCATGGGGGCCAGGCAGGGGTAATTAGTGAGAAGAGCTTTGAGGCTCCTCTTTTATGTGCTCGAGTGGTTTATTTAAATCGTGAATGCAAAAAGTCATCCCGCTGGGAAAGCAGATGCGCCCCCTCATCCCCACTCTGAAGATCTGAACAGGTTTTACCTTGAGATTGGTTCCGTATGTTCTCAGATCTTTACCCACTGATAATTATTTTTGTATCCCCCCCCCCCCTTTTCTGCTGTCCACAAGCACGGAAGGAGACTTGTTTTCAGTACTGTTCAAATGCAAAGCGTCCATCGGAGGGAATCTGAACACGATTGAAAACTGTTGCCAAGTTGTAACCCCCCCCCCCCGTGCAATTTAATCATTCCCCTTTTGCTGGTAGTGGCTTATCTAACAGCTTTTTAATTTTAATTCTTTGATGCTGTTAAGAGACGATGTCATTGGATTTTGGGTGTTCGTACTTAGTGGGAAGGATTTGCTCGCTCTGATTTGCCTTTCCTGAATACAAGTGGTGTGTAAAAAGGTAAAACTTTTGAAAGGGAATTTGTTATTCTTGCTGTTTAAAATCCTCAAGCTATTTGAGCACTGAGTAATGTATACGTCCACGCCTGTTTTTCAGATATGTTTCTGGGGGGTTCATCACAAGGCTGTTGTAGACTGAAGTGAGGTAGCAACTGATGCTTTTGTAAGGTTCAGGAAATCATACTTGGGTGACGTGCTGAGCGTTGTGGTCTAGAATTGATTAAAGAGATAATCTACTTAAAATTGGCTCCTTAGTGCTTTAGAAGTTGCCAGGTAGGGAGGAAGTGCCTGCTGCAGCTGAGGGATGGCCCCACAGCGCCCTGAGCAACGCCCCAGAAGCCCCTAACGAATTCCAATGTACTAATTGCACTATAAATAAGCTTTGCCATCACTTCAAACACTTTGATTTGAGAAGTGGGAGAATTCCGAGTGTACGTGTCCATAGGATGGTGGATTCACAGGGAAGCTGTTTTTGAAGTTGGCTTGGTTTTAATTTGGCCCTACAGTCTGCGTTCACTTGGGGTTATACTTATAAATCTACTATAAATTGCTAAGACTTGCCCTGCTATGTAGACTTTTTGTTACCCTACAATCACCAAATTAAAATATTCTAAGAAGAAAAGCATAACCCTTCTCCAGCGGCAGTGCCCATTGCTGGACGCCTCCTCTGTAGGTGGCCGTGTTGATGAGTAGTGAGCCCCCACCATTTCTTTAAGATGGATCGATATTTTTTTTACTTCATAATCTGTTATTTTTTCTCAATGAGATAAACCTAACACATGAACCAACATGCCAGCTGTAATTGTTAAAAATCTATGGAGCTAAAAGACGAAACTTTTGTACTTCCCGATGGAACCACAAAGGTCTGTTTGGTCTTTGCACTAGTGATCCATTCGAGCTCACTTGAATTGTTCTCAAGATGGTTCGTTCTGTTTTGGGTCAAATCTGGGGGCCAGTGGTGACCCTACAGTCAGCTTGATTCTTTCATTCCCAGTTGTTACTGTGACATTCAGTCAGCGGCATTCTGGTGCTGGGTGGGCCACTGGTTAGTGTCACAGTGTAGACAGTCCCCTGCAGGTGAATGGGTTCAGTATGTATACACACGCCCCTGCAGGCAAATTGGAGATTTTTTTGTTTCATCTCCTAAAGTGATCTGTTATAAAGTGGTGACTCCCAATTCCAGGAAAGTTAGATTCAAGGCCATATGGGCCATATACCCTGAACGTGTGCCTGGAGGGTCAAGTGGAGCTAAATTCCTGAAGCCCCTGAGCCAGTGCTTCTCAACCTTCTGCAGGCTGCGACCCTTTAAGACGGTTCATTATGTTGTGGTGACCCCCAACCATAAAATTATTTTCACTGCTGCTTCATGACTGCAATTTTGCTAGCTATGAATCATAATGTAAATATCTGATATGCGACCCCCTAAAGGGGTCACAACCCCCAGGTTGAGAACCACTGCCCTGGACTGTGCTTAGAGACATGGACAGAATGATCCTTTTGTAGTCATCCGGCGCAAGGCAGGGGTAACTTTTTTTTTTTTGGCAGTATGTGTAGGCATAATGAATGAATTAGTTGAAAGTGTCAGGCAAAGCATTTTTTTTAAAAAAAATCAAAACTGAAAATATTTTGGTATTTCTAGAGCTTGTTAAGTTTACAAAAGTGACATTATGCTAACCAAGCTACTTAAAGATATGAGCTGGCCGTGATCCTATGCAGGAATCCATACCTAGAGAGCAGCCGGTGTCCCCAGTGATTTGAGAGTCCTGTGTTGGAAGGCTTTTCTACTGGAGCTGGGAGCTTCCCTCTGCCTTCCATTCCTCCCGGTGGTTTAGTGAATGGGAAGACAAGACTTGGCTTGCTGTGCTCTGTGGTGAGGGTTTGGCCCTGTGCATCTGAACCCACATCCTGATGTCCATTGGCCATTTTCTTTTGATTGGACTTGTTGCACCATTTTGAAAGGATGTTTCTAATGAACTCAGCTGTGTTTCCCAACATCCAAATGCGGAAAACCAAATGTTAGCCCACTTGGCTAAAAGAAAACACATTCAATTATTCTGGATTTTTACTATAGTTGCCTTAGGTTTGTGACCTTTAGCTAAACTAAAGTCATTATTTAAAAAAAGGGTTTATGTGACAGCTCAGTTATCTGTCATCTATCTTGTCTGTCTGCCTGTCTTATCTATTTGTATCTTTTGTTGTTTAGGCTCCAGCTCGATTTTAAATAGTGAACTATGTGGTCATTTGTATAGACTAGAAACAGTTTCAGTAGCTGATGCCTAATCTTACTGTCAGCACTATAGTATAGTATTTTATGTTTTATACTGTTTCATTATATTCTTTTTTATTCAAAATATTTGCTGAACTCATGTGGTCTGCCATCCTACTAACAAGTTGTGGCTCAGTTAGAAAGTGTTATTTTTGGGCATAAATCTGAGCATGCCAGACTCCACTACGAGGCAGAGTCGTTTAACGCCGTGTCTTGCAGACCATTTGGCAGTGTTGCCCTGAGCAATGTCCACTTGGCACAGTTCTGTGGAGAGAAATTCTTCTTTCTTCACCTCCAAGTCCTTATTGTATTTTTTTCCTTCCAAAACTTTAAGAAAACACTGGGCACCCAGGAATCTGAACAAGCCTCAGCTAGTCTCCAAAGGGGGCCGGTGCCAGGGGATGCTTCGGTGTGGAGGGAAGAAACCTGGAGAGTGAGGAGCTGTGTTTTAGCCGGGTCTGTTAACTCTGGCCCAGCAAATGCTGCTTGCAAGGAACCACAAATGTGTCTTTTCTAGAAGGTCTGCAGCTAGTGCTCTTGGCTCGTCTTAGCTCTGTTTGCTTGCTTGGACCACAACAACAAATCCCTGGGTGGCTTAAACCACAAACGTTTTGTTTTGCACGGATCTGGAGGAGAGGTGTTCAAAACCAAGATGCCAGCCAATCTCTTTACCCCACGGAGAACTTTCTTCCTGTTTTGAGTGGTGGTTATCTTCTGCTGTGTTCTCAGAAGATAGAAGGGAAGAGGAATATACACACATATACATACATGTATATCCATATCTATGTATATTGTATATATTAGAACAATTTCTCTAAGCTCTTTGCTGTCTCATAAGATCATCTATCCTGTCTTGAGAGCTCCATCTTCAGGAGTTGATCCTGAACACAATTCCTTCCCAAAGACTGTATTCCAGTTGCCACACTAAGAGAATAGGTTTCAATACACGAACTTCTACTTTGTACTGTGTTATCTAAGAATATTTTCATGTATATGGTACTCTGAGCATCTCCCCCATATCCCTCTGTCTCCACTTTCTCAATCCACACCGTTAGTTTCCTTTGTGCCCTGGGAAGTTTCCCTTTTACTTTCATGCCGTATTGTATTCATGTTTTATCAGCATATACATTTGAAGGGGACAATTCCGTCTATGCTGTGGTTGGTGAGGAATCAAAATCTGTCTTTTTTCCTTCCCCCTTCTTTTTCTTTTGCCAACCACCTCCTTGAGTATTCTTTTGGCTGATACTTCCCAGGTTCCAAGCCTTTTCCTTGCGCCATCTTTCAGGGCTCCACAGCCTATTTGCTGCACGCCGCTGACCACTGGTCTGTTTTGTACTCTCTTCTGATGGCTTAGCCTCTTTGGTGATTACATGTTCCTTTAAAATTGGGTGTTTAGTGTGATGATGAATTTTTCCATGCGGTTGATTCTTGGTCAACTCAGGAGCAAAGTCTGACACAAATGCGAGCACAGAAGCTCATGTCGAGGTTCTTTGTAGTAATCCTGACGTGGCTTCCAGAAGGCAGGGTCCATGGGTTGGCCCTTTGGACTATTACATAGTCATTGCAGCACAGTGCACAGTCCTTCGCAGGTGCTCAGCAGGTGATTTTAAAGAGAGT